ATACAGAGATGGATATGCGTATATACATCGTACCCAGCGAGAAGTAAGATAACCGTGAGATATGTCAGCGAATATCTTCGTCATGTCGCTTATCCACCGCATGTTAATGACACTTCCTGAAACTACGAATATTGTTACAGTGTCATCGCAATGAAATAGTATAATGCAATCCGCCGCCGGTTATGTACATAATCTGCAAACCGATACTTACTTACGACTTCAGAACTGTAATAATAACGATTACACCGAGAGCGCGTCTCTGCAACAAATCCACCTCCGTTTAAATTCCCTTCGATATTATTCGTACATGACACAGGTCTCTCGATTATCGCGAAACGTTCGATATCTCGGGGTCACTCGAAGATCTCATTACGTTTTTACGCGTGTCGCGAACATATATGCAAATCCACGGTGTTCGTGTATAATAAACCACTAGAATATAAACGCGGAGAGTGCAATGAGCTATAATGTTCTAGGAAAGAGGTTGCCCTCCCCTCCCGTCTAGGAAAAAAAAAGAACTGAGCTCTTTGCGCAATGTACTCTCTGCGATAAGCCAGCGACATAAAACTGAAATTTACGGGTCTATAATTCTCTGTGAGAGAAAGAGAGAGGCCGAAGAGGCGCGTCGCGTTTGTAATCCGTTTAGAATCGGCTCGTTCGTCACAGAAACTAACGATTTCTCTACGACAGGATTGTTAAAAAGGCAGTTAGGAGTTGTCACGAACATGCTGGTTGCGGTAGATAAACCTAAAGTGTTTCCACCGCAGCCGCAGGTAGCCAGAGAAAGAGGAAAACAAAGAAGAAAATACAATTATTGCAATGGTATAAAATCAAACTCCGTGAAATCTTACTTGTGTATAGAAGTAACTTCAGTTACTTCGTATCAGAAAATAAATAGCCTCGTCATTCTAATAACTAATCCTATCTCCAAAGGAAAATCACGGAGTATCCCCCTGGTGGATTATCCACGGCCATTCGAGAGAATCCCTGTTCTTATACATCGTTCCCGGATAGTTCTTTCATGGGACGCCTCAGCAAATTGAATCGTCCGGTGATCGTACCTAGGTGCCATTGTTAAGAAGCAGTTTGAGAAGGCGCTATCGTATTGAGAACCATCGTATTCGGAGCGGAATAACTCGCCGAGTACGACTCTGAGAAAGTTTGAAATTTTTCACGAAATTTCGATCGCTCTTATTTCTTAAGAATACGACGTGTTGCTCAGCCAGCCAAGAAGATTCGATCGAACTTCGAAAATAGCTTCCGTCGTACTTGACTTATTTTACGATCATTACCGTCAGCCGTTGTGCCCTCGCGATGCCGTTGTACACCACGTCGCACTTTGTCTGAGAATTGCCTCGTTAGTGTAGACCGTAGTCCGGCAAAATCCCTTCATCTCTCCGCTTTTCTTGCGCGAGGCCGCGAATGCGTGCATCGCGCGAATCGTATATCGCATATACAAACTATTATATATACCGGACCCGCCCTCTCGAAAATGTGTGTGAGTATAAGTCTTGGTGGAAAATTTACGAGGAAGGCAGCCGTCTGTCTCGCAAGCATTTAATTTTCAACGTCAGGCATCCCGGCGGCCGAGCCTTAAATTTAATTTCTTAAGGTAATCGATGGTTCGGGCACACCCTACGATCTGTCACACGGAGAAACGAAAGAAAAGGGACAGGATCCGGCGAGGGTGGAAGCAACGCTGCAAGGGAAAAGTGCAAGACGAAGGAGAATAAAAAAGGAGGAGGAGACGAGAGTAAATAAAAAGTAAAGTCGCGTCGGATGGTCGGTATCGTAAACAGAATAGACTATTTCTCTGTATAGATATACAGAAATAAATACGTCATCAAACGTACTCTACACTGTTAAATTTATAATATCAAATTATACCCAATTTGTGTTATTTTTAATTTTCTGTAAGTCTCGCCACTCTGCTTCTCTAATGTATTGTTAATTTAATTAAAACAATGGAGTTAAATAATTTGACTGAAAATTGAGAATATATATTGAATTTGACTCAAATTTAATTTACTATTCACTAAATGCATACATTAATATAAACGTTATTTTGAAATTACGTTACTTTGAAACTAACTACAGAAATGGATTAATTTAGACTTCTTTAGAATTCTTGACACATGAAGAAATAAAAATAATAAAATATCATTTAACTCAAGGAATTAAGTTGTCATTGCTCCTTTGATATTCAACAGTATAAGATAGGATATTCTTTTAGAAGAATTATTATGTGTACATCTCTCTCTCTCTCTCTCTCTCTCTCTCAGAAAGTGCAAGCAGTCACGCAGATTAAAATAAAACAAAGAAAATTACAAATGAAGCAATGATGCAGACTAGAAGTATAATTACAGCTAAAAATAAAATGACACGAAGCAAAAATAAACCCGAGCATTAGACGCCAACACAAAAAAAGAAAGTATTTTATAATTAATTAGTTTGGAAAGAAGAATAATGTTTACATACATTTCAGATTTAAACGATTCGATAAAATGAAACTTGAGAATGAGATTTATATCTTGATGACATTAAGTCTCAATTATCGGTAGCAGAAATAATCTACACGTAGCACGATGTAATAGTATATGTAAGTCGTTTGAGCGATGAGACACTCTTATCTAAATGATAATGGAAATATTCTCGGAAGGTACTCTCTCAGAGAGAAAACAAAAAAACTAGGTGTAGTATGAAAGAAGAGAATGGCAGACAAAGAAGCGGCAAAGCGGTTTAGCAAACAGGATCGGTTAACAATAACTCGACGAGCAAGTTTCCATCGACTCCGTCGCGCGATCATCTATTTCCGACCGAGAAAAACAAGAAATGCGGTATTTTGCTGCGACATTTTTAATATTTCGCGTTAATGTAAGCTTAATTCGACATTAATGAGATCCAACAATTTCTAGCCGATCGAATACCCGGTAGAAAGAGCGCCAATCGCATTATTGTCAACGACTTCGATGCATAACTGCGTTCTGATTGTCAATTTGTATAATTATACAATATGAATGTACTGTCGCGTGCACATGCCCATAATTCACAGAACGTGTGTATACCGTCGAATGCAGCGCGCATAGATGCAAACTGATGCATGACATTAATAGAGTTGCAACTCAATTGTCATTTTGCGCAAAAGTCCGCGGGTGTGTCACATGTATAAATTTGTCCGCGCGAATGTTATGTATACAAGCCCAATTTCATCGTAATATCGTAATAATTTAAAACAATATTATTATATCATATCTACAAATCTATAACACGATAAAGATATTAATGTGACTTTCAATTTGCGTATTCGCAATCTAATCGGATTTTATCGACTTCTATCGACTAGCCTCTCGAACATAATCCCAACATCAAAATTAAATTTTCCTTTAGCATGGCAACAGAAGCCAAGTAGAAGCTGGAAGAAATAATAGAGAGGCAAATTTGAAAAATTTTGTGGTCTTCATACACAGAAAAGTCGCCACGCGCTGCAGAAATTATGCGAACTCTTACAATTTTTCGGTTCTAAAACTTTGAAGGATAATAACATCGTCGGAAGTTTGTCGGAGGCGAACATTGACTGTCGGCGGCACGTGCGGCATGAATAACGAAAGTATCGTCGATGTATAACGTCGTCGAGGTGCAACGACGTCAATTAATGCATCGAAATTACGTTACATCAGTATTGCTTTTACGAAGTCCCCGAACGTCTCGGCGCAAAGTGGTTCGGCGAAACGCAGCACCGCGGGCGCATCGTCGAAATGGAATTGTATATGTTTCTCGACTAAAAGTGCATTGCGGCCGTAATGCATACGATGGGGTGTGTTAAAACGAAGGCAACTTTCTTATGCAACCCTGTATATGTATATATACTACTCTGTATTATTTTAACGCAATTATTTCTCGGTAAAGTAACGTTCAGTCCAGAACAATTTATTCCAAGATCTTCCCTCGATGTACCTCTTTGTTCGTTTAATAGAAATGACAAACCATCAAGACAAAATTACAAAAAGAATATTTACTCGTGCTTTGATTGCGCGTTATTTGTAAAATAATTAAATATATCGAAAAAATATTTTTTTTTCACGAATTAGAAATTAGTAGAACAAAATTGAAACAGATTCGTTAGTGATGGTTTCATAAAAACGATCAAAGTGGAAGTCGTAAAATAAAATTTTTGTAAAACTGTTTCCGGAAAAATCGATTATATTAATCAGAAAACTGATAATATCTTTCGTAACTGAATGAATATGCATAATCTGCATTAATTATCAAAGATTAAAAGCAATCAATATACTATTTTAAAAAATAATAAATAATATTTCATGTTGCCACACTACACACACACACACACACACACACACACACACACACACACACACACACACGTACGCACGCACGCACACACAGAGGTATTTGTAAAATATCAATTCCTTTTAATAAAAATATTTAATAAAAATTTTTAATTAGAAATAATAGAAATATTATATTTTTTACATTTAAAAAAAAAGATAAACAGAAAGAGAGAGAGAGAGAGAGAGAGTGTGTTACTGTTAAAATAAATTTATCAAACTGGAACATCATTGAAAATTACATCAGTTCAAAACAGAACAGACGTTCCTAATTTTCTGATTTTCAAATCCAATTATCTCGCAAACAAAGCTTCGTTTAAAAAAGTTTTGCCCCATTTTTTGTTTGATGTTTTAGAACCACCTTGGTTAGCCCGCTAATAACCATCTCGGCTTGGCAGCTACTTCGCTCGCAGAATGCAATCGCGATGGCCAAGGTGGCACACGAGAGCAAATAAGAAAATCACGTTGTTTCACAGCAACGTTATCAAATATAGAGGGGACAAATTGCCTATTTTTATAAGAGTTGCGAAACGGCGGAAAACGGTCGCAGTGGAGCGTCGTAGCGCGAGCCAGGCATGCGCTTTCGTCGCAGGGTGGCGCGCGGCAGTGAAAGAGCTCGAGGGCGAAACCCACGTTTCAGTCTGTCGCGTGTATTGCTACAGTTCGTATAGTGCCGCTCTCCGCCACCGCATTGCTCTCACGGTGCTTTCATATCTCGGGCAAGGAGGGTAAACTTCGATGATGTCGTGATCCCGTGAGAGGAGCACACGCGAGAGTCACGCGTACATACGTGACCAAGGAGGACCGGGGCGGTGGTGTTGCGCTGATCCCACGCGATCATCCCGCTGAGGGGGCGAGATGACGTCTCGACGGAGCGCCGTGCGACCTCGTCGCTCGTCGCGGATCGCCGCTTCTCGCGCGTAAACCCAAATTCCACTCGTGAAATTCCCGCCCGACCGCCCGCGACGTCGATATCGAATCTCGTCCGAGATTCGTTCCCCTAGGCACCAAATTTTCACCCTGGGACGTCTCCGTCAAACGACGAGATAGAGTAAAGATACGCGACGGTCGCCCGACTTGAGAAACTGTAGTTTGTACATAACTAAAACTCGTCCCGCGAGACAGCTTCCGCGGAGAGAAACTTCTACGCGCTAATCCCGAGTTCCGAGATTGGAATTTAAACTCTTACGAGAGAAATCGTCATTAACCCCGCCTGGCGCGAATCGAAGGATGCACGTGATCCTATTTAACGCTATATCCGATTAGAATATGTCGCGTAAGTCTTTAAAAAGCAAACGAGGGGAAAAGGTCGAGCACGCTGCAGCGACTACACCGCTCCGGTGGCGGCCGAGAGATGACTATACCAGTGGCGAGAGAGAGAGAACGATAAGCCTATTATCAGCTAGCTTTAAGTGAAGCGGGATTGATCGTGTAAAAATAACCGGCGCGCAGCACAAAAAAAGAGGATCACGTGGCGGGAATGCGCGCGAGATACACTTTGCGGCGGCAATTATATCAGTGCGAGGTACGCGATCGTCAAGAAGACCGTAAGTGAAACCCCGTGGGTGACTTCCGGTCCGGGAAGGGGGTTCCCGCGTGAGCCGCGTACCTCGCTCGCCGCTCCGGAAATGCTCGCGGGGATCGCCGTAGTGTCGGGTGATGACGATTGGCGAGCGAATTGTCCGTAACAAGATTAGATGATGACGGATTCCCCGACACCATCGACCAGCAGACATCACGACGACAAATGCGACAAGCCCGAGAGATCTGATAAGACGGTGTTACTGGTGAGCGAACCTAGACTCACGTGAATCGCAAACAGTCCCGGACGACTATGAAATTATAATACCTTCCTCGAGTCGATGTAACTTTAACGAGCTTTCGTTGTAACCCACCCGCGACCATTTTTCACGTCATCGTAACGAGATCTTTAATCTGATAGGCAGCCTCCTCGATTCATTTTTTAAAAGTCCCTCGCTGCCGCTCCATTACTTTTCCATTTCACTTTTTACAGAATACACACGTAAATAATTGATGCTAAGGGATTGAGTAAAATCGGCACAGAATAATGCATAAAATGATATTTTGTACTCTCTAAAATCTTGAAAGTGGAATCTAATTTTAAAGAATGATAAAGGCGACATTTACAATCCGTTCTTATTTTAATATCGTCTTAAATAACATCTTAAGATGTTAATACGTCTCTCTGATTAGTTCCTAAGATTGTACTTAAGACGGTCTTAAATATAAAATCCGACTACAAATACAGCCCAAAAAGAGCGACAATTGAACCAGTACTGAAAAAGAGCGGCTCAATTTTTAGAGTGAAATTTCCTTCTTTCGAGTTAAATTCCATTTCAAAAATTTTAAAGAGTATAGATAATGATGGGCTGGGGAGGGATTTATAGCGTAGTATTATTTTTTAATTTTCGAGAGCTTCGCGTCCCTCTCTGGAGACTGTTACGTCGTTAGTAATTATTCGCGACGCAATCGATTCTTAAATTATCGATGATACAGGCCATTATCTGTCACTGTCAATTATTTAATAATGGCTCGACCAAATGTCGAATTATGTGACGAGGACTCAGGCGTTATGCAAACATATCATTTTCGGTATTTGGACAGGCGTGTGAACGAGATATTATTAAACGAGAGAAATATAATAATAGCGAGAGTGCAGGCGAGAGAAATGTTATTGCCATGTTGAAGCGCGCGTATATCCGGCATTTCCGTCACGTCGTATGGGATAATCGATGGAGCTTGATCGTGATAGTTTCACTTTTCGTGCGTTTCAGCAAATTCAGGACATAAATAGTCAGGTAGCGCAGTTCCGAGATTTGCTCATTAATATCGGACAGCCGCGCGACTGTCCGGAGCTGCGCGAAAAAATACGGAAGCTGCGTCGAAACTGCGTGGAGGCTTGCAAGAATACATCTCAACTGGTACTGCCGCATGTGCAAAGGTGAGTTTAAATCTAAAGACAAACCTTAACTCGCAAAGGTTTCCCCAAAGATCTCTGTAGAAATTTTAATATTTAAACGTTTAATAGTAAAAGTTACACTGGACAAATTTTGAAAGATCAGAAAGTGGAGTATAAATCAGGTACTTATAGTTAAATCCATCGTTTTAGTCGAGGTAATCGGATATTCAATTAAGATAATAAGAATTCTGATTGATATGATATATAATCAAAATTTATCTTGTTTGCATTTCTTGTTGGCACAACTAAAAGATTTTTTTCAGCGTATTATCCTCCATTATTCGAATTTTTTTTTCAAGAACAATATCAATGTATATTAGTGCAATCTAGAGACAAACATAGAGATTTCCCCAAAGATCTTGTAGAAATTTGAAAATCCAAATGCATAATAATAGAAACTACATTGGAAAAAAGTTCTCATTCATCAGAAAGATACAAATCAAACACTTACAGTTAAATCTGTCAAACATTTTAATCAAAATGACCAGAAATTCAATTATCATAACTAGAATTCTGATTGATATAATTATTTTGTTTGTACATACTTCTCGTTGGTTCAACCAAAATTTTTCTCGATGTAATATCCTGCATTTTGTTCGAAATTTTTCTTCGAAAACAATCTACGATCTACGGTACCTTAATGCGATTTAAAGACAATCCCAAATCACAGAGGTTTCCTCAAAGTTCCCCGTGGAAATTTAAAAATCCAAAAGTATAGTAGTAAAAACCACACAGGACATATATTCTTGATACATTAATTGAAATTCTGATAGATTCAATCAGAAAAATACAAATTAGATATTTCTAATTAAATCCATCTAATTATTCTAGTCGAGATGACCAGAAATTCAATTACAATAACTAGAATTCTAATTGATATGATCATTCATTTTGTTTGTACTTCTTGTTGCTACAAAATATTTTCTCAGTAGAATATCTTGTTTTATTCGAATTATTCTTCGAGGACAATATCTACTACACATTAAGGCACGTACCTACAGTTAAGTTCGATATCTGCAGTTTAGTACTAATATATAGGTATAGATATACGAACGCAGAGTACATTACTCTGAGTTGTCTTTAAACTATTCGTGCTCGATCAGTTAAGCCGTTCGGCAGACAAATTACTCATCTCACAATGCTGCAACGAGAAAGCGCTTTTGATCGTTTTCTCCGTGACTCCTTCCGCGTATTTTCGTAAGGGCTGAGGCTCTACTTCAGCAACTTTCTGGCAACGATAACGAGGACACTTTACTCTATGTGGCGGTTGTGCAGAAGCGACGTTTCTTTGCGCGACGAAGGAAAGGAGCGAATGTAAACTACGGAATTAACGAGGACGTCTTCGCATATAGGACAAGGTTCCATCGCTAAACTCTGGATACAAGTTGGTTCGCAACGATGACAGCGGCCAAGAGAGAGAGAGAGAGAGAGAGAGAGAGAGAGAGAGAGAGAAAACTTCTTCGTGATTTCTTACATTGCTTTCGCTAGTCCCTCGTACGTCTCGCACAATGCAGGTCACAGAGAAACGACGAACGACCGAACGTTCGAAGAATCATGGTCGTGAGAAAAACGTCATGTGCCGTCGCCGTTGCCGAGCACTTCCAATAACTTTCATTCCTTAAGTTTGCTGGGCGCGCCAGGCAGTGCTCTTTATCACTAGTTTACGTAAGATTCTTCTAGCTAAGACTCACGATTGACTTTGCAATTCACTTCTCGACAAAAAAAAGTTCTCCTGACAAAAATCTAATAAAGCGTATTTCTACAACGTAATTTTAATCAATTGATTCAATCATCTTGTTTACCCGCCGTATGGCTTTATTACGTATATTTAGTATTTTCCATTCAACGATGCTTATGATTTCACGGTAATAATACAACGCGAAATGATATAATAATAAAACGTATTTTGAAATATACATATCCATACGCAGGGAGAAAAAAAGATTTATCGACATAACAGTATATTTTATGTCACTGTGGAAAATGTTTTTAGTTACCATTCAGGTCGTAAAAAAGATTTATCGGGAATATTTGTTGGGGAATGCTGTTTACTGAAAAATGATTTGACAGAATCTACAAATTACTTCATTATTATTAATAAGTTATTTTGTTACGAAATGTATTTCAGAGATAAACGGTTTCACTTTAACAGAACATTCAAGCGAGATCTTCCAAACACACAAAACAAGTTCCACTGCAATATCAAATAATTGGTCATGGTAGAGAAGTTTGATTGCTTCCGCGTCGAATATGCGATAGCTGCAGTTATTGCCACAACGGTGGAAGTCTCCTTTCTCTCAGCGTTAGCTCAAGCTCGTTGAAAATTAGAAAACATGTTTTCGAACTATCCGTCCATCTTAATTTCAGGCATTACCGCGATGACATGGTCGCGAAAGAAAATAACTGACAGAAAACCGTTGACAACAACCGTGATGACGTACATAACGCGGAGATTATTTACGTAAAGTCAAATATACGGAGCATACTTGTCACATGTACGCTCATATATGTTGGCGTAGAGCTGTGCTTCCGTCGATCTCGCTTGATCCAGGTCGCCGTAGCGCTTACTCGCGGAAAGTTTTCCACTCCCGAGAGCCGGAGCTTACCTGACCGATCAAATATTAATGCCGGAGGATTATTGCCTCCAGTTGCGTTTATTTGTTGCTTGCGCACGAGAATGCGGCAAAAGTTGGCGTATAGTTCGCGCGGCGAAATACAATTATCGCCCAGAATTAAACCGTCGCGCGTCGACTCGAGATGGAGCTTTGATTCGCTCTCGAAATTCTCCTGAACTCGAGTGACAACTAGACAGACGTCGGCTCTTGCCGAGCCACCAAATAACATTGAAATGGACGAATGACCGATAAAATGAAAACAGTGCTTGAAAGCGTAATAATTCTCGAACGTGCGTTTTCCATGTAAAATGAAAAATAGTGGAAATTGCATGAAAGATGGGAGACAAAGCAAGAATTTGAAATAAAGCGGGAAGAGAATTTCATACCGAAAAAGTCGAGATGACACGCGACACGTGAGCGTCGTCCTTGCCACGGAACAATCTCTTGTCAATAATTTAATCGCCGCGACCGGAGGTGTGCTGTACAATTTTGAATATCCATATTTCAGCGTGTGGGAGTTACGGGACCCTGTCGCCTTTTGCAATTCGAAAAGCTGGGATTCCTCGTAATTCCTAGATTAACGTAGGCGTGTACTCGGCGGCCGTTGTTGATCACAAAAAAAGGTGCGCGAATAAAACGTTGGTGTGTATTTTGCATAATCGATGCACGAGCTGGTTGCATGTTTCGCAGCGATACGGCGCATGAAACGTCCGCGCGAGGACATAAATCGAGCGACGTTATATATATGCAGTGCAATCGAACACGCATGTAAAGATGATCGATTGATTGTAGATCGCGCCTCCATGGGAAGACTGTACACGGCAGATATATAGACACAGATACATATATATATATATATATATATATAGAAGACACATAGACGGACAAAGAAATTATACCCGCCGTTATCTACAACTTCTTGAAGCGCGATAGTCGATGACCAATGCAAATAACAATTTGCGAGTAATTGAACTGTTGCGCCACGGCAGGTGCTGTCGACGTAATCAAACGGAGAAAACGCGAGTGCTCGTCGCGATATTGTTCCGAGCTTGACAGGATAGATGCAATGCCGCTATAACAGATGGAGGGGCAAGCGGAGATGCAATAATTAACGTTTCGTAACGGCTGGGATGATCCGGCTTAAGCAAAGTAGGTAAAACGGTGCGTGTACGCCGGTCATTTGCAATGCGATAGTCGTTCGACGTTGGTATCTAATTAAACGCCGCTCATTGAAAATCCCATTGCGCGTGGAGGCCTCATATTCAACCGCAATACAATCTAATTTCGCGTTCGGCAAATAATTATTCTCACATTCCGGAAGCGTGCTCCAAATATTCGGTAGTAATTACAAACACGCAGCCTCGCTTTAAATCTACGCGATGTTTTTTTCAGACGTGAGTATTTCGCGGTCAACTACCGACTCAAGTTTTGGCCGAGGAAAAACTCACTGTAAATTAATACAGGAAAATGAAATTCCATTGTCTACTTACATCCCCTTCTCCCCGGCCTCAACTCATTGAAAACAAGTCTTTTACTTTCGTGGCTTGAACAGTTTCGCAATTAAAGTTGAAATTAATCATTTAGCGAAGTGAATGTAATGTAATAATAATGCATAAGTGCAGAACATAAACAGTTGCGTATCGAGTGTATTGCATATTTGTTCTTTCATTTTGGATAAGAGAATGCATGAAAAGAATTTTGAGAAGAAACGAATTCGTGAAACATTTAGATTTTCATTAAGGTGAGCAAAGCCCCGGAAGGTATTATTCAAAGGTGGCTAAGTGAAGATGAGCGAGAGAAAGAGAGAGAGGAAAAGGGAGGGAGAGGGAAAGAGAGAAGTATGATGAAGGAAAGAGGAATCAGTAATTGGGAGTGGCGCTAACCTTTTTACGAAACTCACTTCCACCTTTGATTCAACCTTCCTGGCTTAACTTTTTGCGAGGAACCAATCTGTGAAATCGATAGCTTTCTTTCCTTGAGCGGCAAACGAAGTGCCAGACGGCAATTCCTCACAAAAGAATTTAAATTCCGACATATTGAAATCCAAGCCGTTCCTACAAAGCCGCTACGAGTTACAACAAACGAAAGTAAACTCATTTCAATCCCCGTCTGTATCTTTCATTATAATGTAATCCGAACTTTATTTCCTGAATGTCTATCTTGAATGACAGTCAAGTGTACAGTTATCTGTTACACAAGACAAGTATAATTAAAGAATATTAAAAAAAAGAGGAGAAATTATTAGCAGCTTTGGTAACTAGCCTCTTAGCAACGGCAAGGAGATGTCACGAATATACTTGTCAGATTGAGATCGGTTGCCTTCGGTCGCGCCAATCTATTTCGTACGTTAATTGGAATCTCATTAAACGGAAGCCAACCGAAATGGTTTCTCTGCAAGGACTTCGCTCAATGCTCGACCGATGCGATAATTGACGTAAAACGGGTTAATCAGAGTACTTGGTTTTCCTGCAGCTTTCTACTGTACTTGTTTCCCCGTGCCACGATTTTACGTTATCGGATCACTCATCACGGCATATTTCACAAAATATCGCTGGTGACTCTCTTCAGAAATTCAAGACAACGTATTATTATTATACCAGACCCGCTGCGGAAAGGTGATATCGCTCGGAACCGTTTATCGTTCACGTTTGTTCTCCAGCTTAATACATCATCTAAAATTAAGGATTGCGCTTTAACATCATCCTAAAGTTTGTCTTTCTTTTCGTCGTCTTTCAAATTTCTTACATGTATATGAGCACGTTGTTAATACTGCCATGTTTTTTTTTATTTACCATCGCGAGTGTCACTAGGAAGAAACAAAGGAGGAGCAATGCTTATACGAGAAGCGACTCACCGACACTTGACCACGAAAGATGTGCGCGTTAATGAGACACCAGTACTCATGCCTCGCGGGTGACCTTTTCGCGTAAGCAGTAATAATAATGTTTTTAATGTAATTAACTCGGTAAGCTACGGAGCGGAGACGGAGTGGAAGAGAAATCAGATTTATGGACCTTCAACTAAAATCCGAGAGACCCGACAAGGAAGTCGTTAAAGTAATTCGTATTTCTCGCGATAATGCGATTTACCACGCCGTGCATTCAGTAACGATAACGTGATCTTTTATGGTTTTATTCATCGTGGCTTCCATCGCGTTTACATCCATGCACACTCTCCTTTTGCATTAGATACTTCGTGAGATTGGAAACCGAATTGGGATTATATTTAATTTTTAAGTAGATAGAGTGGCCGCACAGCATCCCAGGTAAAATTTTCTTTAAAATCTTGTTCTGAAAAAGGAAAATAAAAAGTATTGCCCAAATGCCCAGAAGTCTCAAAGTTCACTATTTTTGCTATTTTATTTCATAAAAGTATAATGCAAATTTAACTGTAACATAACATACTACATTATTAAATACATAATGGAAAATAATACACAAAAAGAACGGTTTTGCTGAAGTATTTAAAAATTTATAGTATATATAGAGCTGAAAATAATTTTGTTTGGACCATTAAAATAATTAAGTAGAACGTTCAAAGTGATTATTAGAATATTAAAACTTTTTGCAGCGTTGTCATCAACATTTAAGCGTTCTATTTTTATATTTGAGCCAACAAAATTATTTTCAAATCTGTATTCAAGTAAATTTTTAGATACTTCAGCAAAACCGTCCTTTCCGTGTATTCAATTTGAGTTATTTTTAATCATTTCTATGGGTCGCCACTGTTTCTATTTAATATATTGTTAATTTAACTAAACCAACGGGGTTAAACAATTTAATTGAATAAAATGTATTGACCCAAATTTAGTTTAATATTTACTAAGAACATACGTTAATATGGATGTTGTTTACTTTGAAACTAACCACAGAAATGGAATGCTTTACATTTTGACACACATGTGGAAGCTAAAAATAACAAAATGTTATTCAACTCAAGGGATTGAGTTACCATTGTTTCTTTAATATTAATTCTAACAATGTAGTAAAAATATAACTATAAAATTAAAATTTCTACTTGAGGTGTGAGCACTCCACCTACTAACTTGCGTATCTTTAAACCTGTACCTACCTACTTAAAGGTTAATTATATATATACAGTGAGTGCAAAAAGTATTCGTACAAGGAAATTTTTGATAAAAAGGTCTTATTTGTAGAAAATAAATATTAATAGCAATTTTATACATTCTGTTCTAACAAAAACAAACGAGCTTCGCATATATTCCTGATTTTAAAAGTTAAATTTCTCGACCGTACGAATACTTTTTGAGCATCTAAATAATATAATTTTTAATTTTCGTTTATTTTTCAAATGATATATTTTCTATAATTAATACACATCTTTTGGTATATATAATTTTAAGAAACATACAATCTATTTTATTCTTTTTGTCTATTTTATTCTTTATGAATAAATTCTTAATTACCTAGCAAGAAATGAGCGTCAATTAAACGTCGAAGCGACGTCAAATTGAAATCATTGTATCGATATCGATTCGACATCAATTCGATGACACATTTCTCGCTGGACAATATTTATTTTTTAAAAATAAAGTTTTTTTAAAACATATTTTCTCTGTACGAATACTTTTTGCACTCACTGTATATATATATATATATATCCTCTTGTAGATAGATCTCTTATTGAAAAATAATCTTATACGATCGAAAACGTTTTGGGAATATATTTTATTGCAGTGCTATGGACGTAGGAATACCGGTTGACAGTCCAAATCTGGTGCTGTTGTTTTACGTGGCTCAACTCTTCTTACGCGAACTGCACAAGAGTAAAAACCTCATATCCATCATACCCATGGACATGACCGGATATTACGGTAAGTTGCGCATGCATGTTTACAATATTTTAATAATGATCTATAAATTATTTAAAGAATCTGCGGATGTGTGCGGGGAAGTGGAACAAGTCCACTTGGAATGTTGCTATAACTTTTTTTATATGACTACGTGGTCGCAACTTGGTCGTTGACAATTTTAATCTCGAGAGATAAATGAGTGCTCGCCGACCGAGGCAAAATTTAATTCACGTTGTTTTCGGTAATAACACTCTTAATTATATTCCCACGCGAGAGACGATTTGCGTAAAAGATCGCAAGAACGAGCGTATAGGAATGTGTCATCGGAATCGAGTCACGTTGCGTTATCGACTTGCACCGAGGCGTAACGTTAAATCGGTTTTTGCGGTCGCTTTGAACCAGGCTGGATAGACTGATTTACGGCGTGTACATCCCAACGGACCATAACTCTCAAAACTACCGCGAACAGTTGTAGGCCGTTACGCGTTCGACGAATCCCAATTTCCGACTACACGTCGCTTCCTACAATCAAGCCCATCAAGCCGAATTCTATTGTACACAACGTACACGTGTCAGAGACAGAGTGACGAATCATCGTTACATGCGTAGCTTTAATACACGTTTTTCTAATTTTTAGTGGCGTTTGCCACGTATAACATGTAAGCCATAATATATATATAAGGTATCTTTCTTTCTCATAAGTGAGGAACTTCGCTCCGAATAATTTATACTACAACTATTTCCTTGACATTAACATTATAGCTTGTTCCGGGCGTTCGCTTATTTCTCCCTCCGTTGCACATATTAAAGTTTATGGAAGCTTTTTTAAATCTCGTCAAAAAAAAAGTTGAGAAACGCCCTATGCACTTTTATATTAAAGTCATGCTAAACAGAGCGTTACGTATTAACATATTATATTATTAATAAGAACATGGTTATTATTTCCACCACACTCAGCTTAAAATACTTCCCTCGGATATATTTCGCGAATCTGGGAGAAGAAAGACATTGTTAAAATTGAATGACGTAGAAATCTAACAACACAGTTTTCGTTATCGCGTTACAGAGAATCGCGCTGGTCCCTCGTATATCGGCAATGTGGTCTCGCAGATCCTCCTGTGCAAACAGATTAGACCGGACTTCAACGAAGAGGAGCTCTGCAGCATACGAAAGGACTCGGAAGAGATCGGCCAGCTGATAGCGGAGCTACAAGAATTTATGCCCCAATCTGAGGCTGACACGGGTACAATTCCGCCGGTACCTTCGTCCATATTCCGCCCGAGAGCTTTGCCCTGTTTAGTGACGATCGTCCCACGAATCTATCAATCACGGTTTTCAGAAAGTAGATTTAGCAACTTATAGCAAAAAAGAAGAGAAATTAGACGAAAGATTAAGCACACGAAAAAAGGGTTTTGCTAAAGATCTGAAAATAATTTGTCAGACTATCAAAATACATAATTATAATGAATACTCGAGCTGGTTGCCAGAATATAAAAATTGTTTGCAACATTGCTCATCATGCTTGAGTTTCCTACGTAATTATTTTGATGTTCCAACAAAATTCAGTATTTAATTGAATTAAAAATATTTTAGTAAAATTGTTTTTCCTGTGTATAATTAAATAGAACAAAAATTAATATAATGGAACTTGTTATGTGTCCGATCTAGTCGGGCAAACAAGGTATTCGGATAATCGGAATTTTTACGGATAATCAAACGATTTTGGAAATAAAAAAAGTTTATTTATCATAACATTTTGTAAATTGTAACGAAATAGAGAAAGAGAGAGAAATTATTATAGTAATTTACCAGTTTTCTTTATTCCACATTTTATTTTCTCAGTTTTTTTGAGCTGTTTAATTTACATATTTTTCTTTATTCATTGCTATGAATGGCTGCGCTTTCTTTCTGTGCTTCGTAACATCTGAGACCTGCTTCTAAAGCAGAAACTGTGCCTCAGAATGACTGGGAATGTTGCTTTCTAGCATTTAGGTCTTGTTGGTACACGTTTGACTCAGACTACTAATACTGAGATGAAGACATATGTCGTGTATAACATACGCCTACATATGTTTGCGTGAACGTAAATGTACATGAGAGATATTCATTCTCCTAGTAATGCCATTTAGATAACAGAGCTTAAACGATACACTCGGATAATAGAGGTTTTATTATATACATACAAAAATACACACACAAGCGTACATATTTTTTGTAGTATATATTTTTCGTAGTATATATTTTTACGCTACGTGAAAGTCGAAATCTTTCCGGACTTTGCGGAGCGAGATTAAAAGAGGTGGAGGGGATGGGATAAATAGGTCGGAAAGTCTGTAGATGTAGATTCTGAAACGAGACGGAAGGGATACGGAATAGGCTTGATCGATATAATATGCGGAACGGAAAAGCATTGTGGGCTTTCGAGCACGTCATTAGTACGTGCACCACAAACGTGAGCTTGTGTCGATATACGGTGGACGCGGGAGAACGCCATTCGACCCTTAGACCCCGGTAATACGGGTCAAGGACGATCCATTCTGCAAAATCCGTTTGTCCGAAATGCATTCCTCCGGTCCGTGAAGGAAGCGCGGGTGAGCAAAAGTGGCAAATGCCAGAGGGCAAAAAAATGAAGAGAGCGGAAAAAAAGCGGAAAGCGGGGTGGAAAAATATACTCGTTGGCCAACAAATCTAGGGTACCGTTCGTAAAACAATCTAACCCGTTTGTTCGATAAATATTGCCCTCTATTGTGCTGCAGGGAGTTGACTTAAACGTGAAACAGGAGGACGGGAATGCAACGAGGAAGAGAATGGGAGGAGAAGAATTCGAGACGGAGAAGACGAAAGGGTATAGTTTAAGCGCGAATTAAACTATGTTTCTCCTTCATAAATCAATGTAATGCGGGAATAATAGCGGAGTTACATTTGAGACGGTCGTATTATTAATGAATGCGTAACATCCGGCGGATCCAGAATACCCTGTAAGCACTTCGAATTTCAAATGTTCAAGTAATAATGACGAATAAATATGATGTATTCACCGGAGTGACAAGACGCAACCATTGAAAATCTTTTTTTTTTTACGTATTTCTTTATTCCTGTTTCTTTTTTTTTTCCATACAAATGTAGTCAGCACAATACCTTACGGTACTTTGGACGTAAAAAATTTTGGGCAAATCTGAATATGAAAAAAAAAAAATAACGAGAGATATAACGAGTCAGACTAACGAACGTAGGAAGGAGGGGAAACAACGCGTGCGATGCAATCTAGGATTTATGGAAACAATATCGATGAACGTTTTCATATCACTCATCTGTATTCATGTTACGAACTCGTCAATGAACGAAGACAACGTAATGTGCAAACGTATATGTAAAAAGAACGCTTTACCCGGCATACGGGAAATCTCAGTTCGCTGAATGTCATAATCAAACTCGCAACACAAAACTCATCGTTCCTAATTCTGGTCGCGTAATGGTTTTTGCACGACAGCTAAATTTTAATCGATTTTAATTCGCTTCGCCGTTGGGGTGCGAGCTTGTTTTGCAAATGTATTCGCAACTAAATTAGTAATTAACAGTCGGAGGAGGGGGAGGACGGAGGGAAGGTGCAGGGAGGGAAAGGGAGGTTTCCAAACACGCGCACGGTTCGGGAACAAGGTCGGAACCGCGATCCCAGCTTCCGGTGGTACACCGAGCGTATGAGTTGAGTGCTCCGGTAAGCGAGTCCGCAACGGACGCGATTCGGTTATCGAGAGGAAAAACAGCGGCGTTTCATACGGAGTTATGATGCGGGTCAAGGTCGCGCGAGTCGCGGGGAATCGAGATGATTTTCGCTCGCGAAAGATACGCGAGATAAAACGAGAATTTTCCAGAAGACAGGTGGGCGGCCACGAAATGTCGACCGCGCGGTGAAAAACGCGGTGTGGACAAAGCGCGCGGACAAATCGCGTTTCTCGACAAACGATAAAATCGCCGGATGATACACTCGCGCGATGAATCTGCAAACATTGTGAAATTCGCAGAACAATTCCGCCGCTGGTTTACGAAGGAGAGAATTCGATGAATACTTCCGGCAAGCGGAAACACAACGCTGCAAAGCGAAATTACCGCTTCTCCTGTACACTTCTCTCGTTTGACTCTGCAACTCTTCTGTTTGTTCCACAATACAGTCAGTACGTTGAATTAACCCTAAACACGCGATTGGATCATTCGCGTCCTGCACATTTTTTGTTGAAAAATTAAGAGCATATTGAGTAATTAGTTTAATATTCATATAATTTTTTTTAAATACACAATTTTATAGATATTTTCTAAATATGTTAAGGTATATGCAAGAATTATTTAATAATTTTTATGTATTTGTTAAAATGATGGAAATTAACCTGGAATTACCTATCATGCACTGTTAAATTTATAGTGTCAAATATAACCTACCGTGAGTCGCCACTGCTCCTACTAAATATATCGTTATTTTTTATCAAAATGATAGTTAAATTTGACACTATACCGTGTCAATTTGACACTATACAATATCAAATTAACACTATAGTATCAAATATAACCATTGTTTTAGTATAAAATAACGACATGATTGAGTAGGAGCAGTGGCGACTCACGGTAGGTTAAATTTGACACTATAGATTTAACAGTGTGTGTAGCACACTAAAAAATTACTAAATTTTAATAAATATTAGTTTGAATTCTGAGTAAATATTTATTAAACATAAACATATATTTATTTGATACAAAAGCCACTAATTTGTGATTTTCATTATCATTTTTTCATTGAGTATTAAATATTTATTTACTGTAAGTAAATAAATGTTTACTTAATACTAATCAAAGAAACATGTATTCAAATTTAGTAGATTCTTTTTTCAATTCAAGGAACCGGAAAATCATCGTGTGTATTAAGAGTTAATATAGTATCGGTTAATGCAATGTCCTTTATTAAGACATACAATCACACTTTTTTATCAGACGCAAAACTATACGGTTATCGCTATCGTTTTGATTTTATTGATGTCCCAATGAATTTTTCGGATTTTTTTTAAATAAAATAATTTGTTCGAAGATAATATGGGATTTATTAAATTTCTGCGATCACGCGTCGCTTCACTTCAATATAATCTCGAATGCATATTCCGCGAATTGCAAATAATCGGAATTACTCGTAATTAATTTCGTTTCGTTGGACAGATAAATATAATCGGTGATAATGGATAGAGTTTATCTAACCGGAAGATATGTGTTACATCCGTTGTTTGGGATTAACACAAGCCGACATCCTTCTCGCCCGTTACGTCAAACCTCGCGAGATTATCCTTGTACGCTTTCAATCTCTCGTAGAATTTCATATTCCTGTCGCTACCAACATTATCCGGGAAGACCCCGATGTATTGCAATTTATAGCGATCGTCGCGTTGACAAAATTAAGTCGCCTTTTCAGTAACGCGATCCTTTTCCCCTCCAGCTTCATATCTTTTCGTAAGGCTCGAAACGCATTAGGTGTCTCCCCTTTTCAATAAAAAAAAATTAGAAAAAACTTGAATGGGACGTTTACATAGTACCGTAGGTTCTCATTCGCACATTACGATGAGTGCTTTCCAACAAAAGACAGATGACAGTGTAACACAGTGTAACGCAGTGAATTATTTCATCTTTGTTTAACATTGGCAAACAACAAGATTGTAATGATTCACTGTGCTGCCCTGTGTCATCTGCACCTTTTACTGTAAAGCACCCAATATCTCTTTAAATCTGTGCAACAATTTCGAAATTTTAGGACCCCCTTTCTTTCTTCAGAATAGACAAAGTAACGATCTTATCGTAAGATACAATGGGTGCTTCCCAGTAAAAGACACAGATATTCAAGTAGAACACAGAAATCATAATAATATCGTAAGGACATCACAACTTTTTTGTTATTTATAAGTTCATTTTTAAGTATCAAATGATGTCATGATGATGTCCTATGACATCATTATGCCTTAATCATGACTGTGTTTTACTTGAGTAACGCAATGTAACACAGTACACTAAGAATCATTTCATCTTTGCTTAACATTGGCAAATAACAAGGATGTAACGATTCTCTGTAAAGCTCTATATTAATAAAGTAGCGCATTTCTTTGATTTGAGCCGAAATGCCGACAACTGTTCTATTGGCTATTTCGACCGCCATTGTGACCCTAATTGTCTTTAGTCCAATAAGCGCTTAGTATTGCTTAGTATTATTGGTATATGGCAAGGTTAGTAGATCCAATATGGACTAATGCTACTTTAAGGTTTGTTCGAGTCGTTTGCTCTAACATGTTCCAATATGCTCCTGCCATAGCTCTTACTCACTCTAACGCGCTTGATAGAGTGAACAGGAGCTATGGCAGGATCACGTTAGAGCATGTTGGATCTTGCGACGCGAACAAACCTTTAGTAATATAGAACTTTAATTTACTGTGCTACACAGTATCATCTGCGTCTTTTGCTGGAAAGCACTCAATATCTTTCTAAATCTGTGATAATTTCGAAATTTTAGGACCCTCTCTTTTATCCCTTCAGGCCATGACAAAATAACGATCTAAGTCATAAAATTGTCTATCTCTGATTCTCTCCCTAGAGAAACCGGTGGCCCTTCACAATCCTGGGAACAAAATCAATCGGAACAACGGAACACGGAGGATGCATCGATGGAGCAGCAACAGAGACCGACAATCGTCCTACTTCCGCAACGGTTTCAGATTTCTGTGCTGCGCCGCGAGTACTAATTACGTTTAACGTACATATAATTCATCTCGATTTATTAAAACGTAATATAGTTCCGATTAATTTAATAATGAATAATTAACGCACTGATATTTTCGCAGTGATTTCAACGCTAAATTCCCTAAAATAAAAAGTTAACAGGAATCGACGGGGCTTCGGCTTCGTAAACTAATCACGATGAAAAGTTCCGTTTATAAAGTATCCTAAGAAAGGCGTAGTAAATAGTTTGGCGATTTATCTTCGGAGGAATGCTCAAAGTCGCTTCGCTTTCGACGAAGCTTTAATATCACGCGTTCATTTATCGTAATTTCTCAACCAGTCTCCGCATCATTAATATACGTCTCTCTTAGGATACTCTCTATGAAAGACTATACGGACAAAGAACGTTGCAACGATAACGTCGGAAGATACACTTCGAGAGGCCTAACCAAAAGGCCTAAAGCCTAAACCTGTCCCACTCGAGAGATATCCTTGGAACAAATTTTTAACGCACGTACAGCCGGTGACAATCAAAGTAGAAGCTCGAGATGTCAATAATTATTACAAATCACATCGCGATAGATACGGGTAAACAGATGACGGGAACAGATGAGGCAAGTAGGGGGAATTTCAGCACTTTTTTCGTCTTTCAACAAGAATTTTAGTGGCACTCGATACTGCTCCCATTTTTTGGACGTTCTTCTGTAGTCTTCTCTCCTAAGAACTCGCTGTCCCATTAAATTTCCAAGTCGCGGACAAAAGAGCCGCCAGTGTCGAGGAGCCTCTTTATTCAAGTCCACTCCACAATCGTTTCATCAATCCCGCTATAATTGCTCGGATGATCTAACTCAAATTTTTTCAAAATCGTATCTCTTACGGTAATCAATTTTCTCGGTTCGTCGCGTTTAGATCTATCGTTTGTGTCAAATTTAATCGATCTTCAACAAGATAAATCTAATAATAATCGCTCGTAATCAAAACTAGCTCGTAATCTTTCGATTCCGGATCTTCAAATCCTAGAATCTAGACGAACGCATTTGAATATATTGTCGAACGTAATGTCGAATATATTGTCAGAATAAATCGCGTCTGTGTCGTGTCAAAACGAGTAGATGGTACATTATGGAGCAATTATAATATCCTAGCGTATTTACAAGTGAGTGGACCAACCTCGATCTATTTATAATGCGCGACGGACGCACACGCATTATAGCTGTAGGTATCCGCGTTTCGCATCTCGCGTATATATATGTACATAGAGATTGTCTACAAAGCAATACGTAGGAGTTCACACAGAGAAGCGTTGCGCAGAGATATAAATACATATGTATATGTATTATATATATGTATGTATATAAACGAACATAGATTTAGTCGCGTACGATCGTTCATACATTTCTCTCACATGTATGAAATATTATTATATAGCCGGAAGCACCATCGTTATCTCGTGACTTTAACCCTAAACAGTATCGGTGTTACTCAATAAAAATAAAAGAGAACTGAGAGAAAAATCTGTCTAAAGCTTTAACGATCAGTTTTGTTCCGGAAGGTTGCTTTTGGTGCTTTAACTCGCAATAATAAATCTATCTATTGATATATCGCAGTGCAAAAGGGATATTTTTGTATTTTCGCACAAATGGAGCGTTACTGTTTCGGGTTAATAACGATGCTGCATACGACCAGCCTGCAGCGGGCATCTATGAAGAAAAAACAAGAAAGAGGAAGAGATCGATACTATGAGAGCGTTAAACAGCCGTATACATTTACGACCGCAATAATATAATATAAAAGATACAAGATATTTTATTACTTTCTCTTTTTATCCGAATATTCTGACATACTTTTTTAAAAAATGACCGCACCTTTGAGTATCTCCCGCGTTAATTGTTACGTTCATCAAGGGATCATACGTGATATCTCGAATATTCTATATAGTAACTCGATTGAGTTGTTACGTAAATTAGACTAATTGTAAGATCGCGTAACGCGCAACAGGAGAGAGTGACTATTTTATACGCGTTGCGCGGAAAGAGACGAAAAGACACAGAATGATTCGCGGTGGAATGACCACGTCATGGCACGTTTCTTCTCCTATTCCAAGCGACGCGAGATTGTACGTTCGATTAAATTACACATATCAATCGTGATCGGGATCGAAGAGAGAAAAAAAAAGAAGAAACGATCGGCGATCTAGGGCATCATTCTTAAAAAATTATATCGCATACGAAAATGTTGGGGAACTTTATAATATATTCTCTAAATTCTTTGGAGTCACTTTAAAGAATAAAATCTCACTCTTAAATATTGAAAATTCTACCACTCTTTTTCAAAAGTGGCAGAATTTTCACTCTTTAGAATGAAATTCCACTCCAAAAAATTTAGAGAGTACGTAACGTATATTATAACATTTTCGTACACTTTCGCATGCGATATTTTTCGAAAATATGACCCCTAATCGAATCGTTTACCTAAAAATCGGTAGCCGCGAAATGTCGAAATGCGTGGAATAACGATCAGTTTGAATCGTTCGTTTTCTTTTCGAAAGGTAACCATCGCGTTGTCCGAATTCCAGAAAGTTAATTACATATCTTGAAACAAAGTGAAAATTACAAAAGTGAGCAAATTCACTAGATGCAGACCAATGAAATTATAAATATTCTAGTAAATTCGCTTACTTTCATCATTTTCATCTCGTTTCAAGATATATAATCAACTTCAGCATCTCGGTTCTGTAATTCTAACTAACAGTGTCGATATCGTTATACTACAAGTACTTTGTATGATAAAAAAAGTTGCAATAACAATAAAGCGATGCTAATACTGTCATTAAAGCACAGCAATGAAGATTAACTTTAATCTCGGTTCTCGGTAATTTTCTGTTTATCCTTTTCTTATAAAAGATTCTTATAAAAGATAAAGAGTAAATTGAACTGAGAGATTAAAGTTAATCTTACATTGGTAAAACCAATGGGGGATCTTAGAGAGAGTTACAGAATCAGGATACTAATCTACTCCGGGAGACGATCGTTACATCTCGAATTGGCGATTCGACTGTCTCTGCGTTCCTTTAGGCTTATCGCGGTGTAAAAAGGGGACCGAAACTACTCGAATATTTCACTTCGTCGAATTTTACGTTGAGGGAACACTAATGAAGAAAAAAAGATATTAGCGCTAATATATCGTATTTTTAGGTGATAGAAAAAAGAAAGTGAGCGTTAGGAGCCGACTCGGGCTCGCAAAGTGAAGTAAATAGCGAAATCAAATTAAGATGAAATATAATGTATCACGTTGACGAAATAAATGAAATAAATTTAACTCGTTCGAAACGAATAGATCATTATTGCTTCCATCTTTTTAATTCCTTATATCCGTCGTTTTCTTGTCTTCCTCTATATCTTGTCCTCTCTTCTCTAAACGTACAAATATTTCTCTCGATTGGCTCCAGAATCGTGGAACTGATGATTAAGGGATGAAAAATAAACCGTCTACTGCCTGTTTCTACCAATCTAGATTAACTTTAATCTTGGTTTAACTTACTTTTTATCTTCTTCTAGTTTTAAAAAAAGTATAAGGAGTAAATTAAATTGAGATAAGTTAAGCTGCATTAATAAAAATAGGCATACACCGCTTATCTCGGCCGAAACAAGCTGCACGATGCTATGAATACATAAACTTTGAATATAGTTCACCAGAATCAAGGACATAATATACGGAGCTCGATAGATTTAATCTTTAAGTAGACAGGTGGTTTAAAGATACGAGTTGGTAAGTAAGATGCTCAGAGCATCTTTAAAAACTTTTACGTGTAGAGTTATATATTTACTATATTATGTTGTAGTTATATTTTTTTTACATGAATCTTTAATATACACGACGATTTTTTGATTTTTTTTATTTATATACAAACGATGATCGTCATTCGTGCTCCAGATTAATTTTATTACATCGCTTTTACAAGTATACAAAAATTATTATGTGATTCTTACATATATTTTAACGTCTTTAAAAGTGTCTAAGGTATAATTATAAGATTGTATATTAAAAAAGATAAGGTTGTAATTATATAATATAATTATATTTAAAAATTGTATATAAATATTATATAATAAAAATTTGTATAATAATATTATAACTGCTTATTTGATGCTCCTAGTATATTAAAAAAAAAAGAAATGCGCAGAACACGAATAACGCCAATCGTGTGTATTAAAGATTAATTATACGTACTCTTATATGAGATATAGAGAAATATAAAAGTAATGGACTTTGAAACTTCTGAGTAATACTTTTTATTTTCCTTTTCCAGAACAAGATTAAAAAAAAACTATATTTGAAGTGCTGTGGCCACCCCACTTAAAGGTTAAAAAGTTTTGGAAAACTGGAGAGAAAAGTACACTCACCAAAAGTAAACGTCGTATTCTCGCCTCTCCTTCTCTTTCTCCTATGCTTTTTCCTTTCTCCATTCTGGTTTATCACGAACGCAAGTTCGTATAATTAACACACACTAATACTACTAAGCGATAATTATTGACCATTTTTATTTTTTAGATTAATATTATATATAAAATATAGATGTCTGATATTTATTGATTTTTCAATGATTATGCTGAATAATTATTTCTTTACTGATAAAATATTTTTTATCGCTTCCTTTGGTTTATAAAAAATAATTTATTTACTTATTTTTTAGTGAATACGAAACATTGGTACTTATAGTGTTAAAATGTATGTAATAGGTCTGTTCTTTTTAGCTAAAGTTCTTGCACGAGTTCTCTCCACATTGGAGAGAAAAAAAGAAAAAATGAACCGTGCAAATTCAGCTAAAAAGAACCGGTCTAATGTAACGAGAAACGTGAAATTGCATTACAAACCCTAGATGCACCGTAAATTCTAAAAGCAACTCATGCAACTTTCGAAAGTAGACCCTAGCGACATCTCACGCATACGAGGCGAACTAGATTCTCGTTCTCCGTAGGGAATTAAGTCGAAATTTTTTGTCGTTTTCGGCATAAATTCTACCTCACAAACACGTACTAATGTGTATACTTTAATCCTGGAAAAGGATTTTCGAATCTGTGAAAGAGAAAAAAGTATTTGTTATACAAAAATTACGATTTAGTCGGTAATACAGACGGCTTTAGGATCCCCTTGTCTAAATATACAGGGTCATCGAAAAGTATTAGGATCCCCCTAATATCTTCAGTTAGAATGCATTTTGGAGAAAATGTCCAATAGCAAAGTTGTATGGTTTCAAGCGAGGAGTAAGATGATGACCTTGACTTTGAATTAATACTTTTGTGCGCGGAATAATGAGACCAATTAATTGGTTTAAAGAAAATACATTAATCAAAAAGTGTCGGATCCCCCTAATATTTTCAGTAAGAATTGTTAACTTCAAACCTTTATAACTCAAAAAGTACTTAATGAAAAAATGTTTTATTATAGTGTTTTGGAAAGCTCTCGAGATAAGCTATAAAAATATGCAATAAAATGTAGGGGGTTCCATTTAAAAAAATAAGGTTGACCTTGAAATGACCTTAAAGGACATGGTCAAGATCAAAGTCAAGGTCATCATCTTACTCCTCGCTTGAAACCATACAACTTTGCTATTGGACATTTTCTCCAAAATGCATTCTAACTGAAGATATTAGGGGGATCCGATACTTTTCGATGACCCTGTATATCTATCTTATTTTAAGTTCAAAATTTTTGAGGGATTTCAAGCAACGCGAATAGACCTATTGTTACCTCATTTTATTTTAATACTTACAATAATATGATACATGAGACAAATCCGAGAAAATACACGTCGTGTTATCCGCTGGAAAATATTCGTGATTACACAGTTCAATGTTTGTACACACAGAGGCGCCACTAAACGGGTTCCACTAAAGTCACTAAATTTATAAATCTAGTGACTTTAGGTTCCACCTGGCTTCTATACACTCTCGCATTATATAATGGTGGCTGCTTGAAGCCCGAATTTTGTTTCTTTGATCGCTGCAAGATTTATAAAAATGTCTGTTGGTAGATTAATTGTGAGTAAATTACGCGTTATGACGTTAAAACGTTCCTAGATTGCTCCGGCATTAAGATCAGCTTTCACTGTTTAGAGCGCTTATAAGTCTAAAATATAAATATATAACGTACATTTTCACATAAATCAAAGTGTATTTATCGTTCGTACTATACACGGTTTTTTAAGTATTTCACTACTCGGCTCGACTATTTGTCAATAATGCGAATGATTCTTATTTCAGACACGTACCTTTTCCACATCAACTGCCGCGCAGCAGCTGGTGAAGGTATTTAATTTTGACAAGCGACTACGTTCTTACTCTTGATAGTTGACAAGTCCCTGAATCAACCCCATAAACTTTCTAGAAGTGATTTTGTATACTTTTACTTTGAATTCTACAATTAGAAGTCCCTCCTATAACAATGCTAATCCATATTTTATAAAAACAGATTAAATGAACTCTAAATTTAGTGATATTTGTATTTTTCCACTTCAGAGTTCATTTTTTTTTGTTTTAATAAAATGTGATTAGCCCACTGTTGCAGCGAGCCCTTCAATTGTTTCGTAGCATTTCATAATATAAATTCCATAAACAATTGTTTATATATAATATGTGTCAATTATCTTTATTCTATTTGATTATTGCAGCCTCCAGTTCAAGTTTTTGGATTAGAAGGTAGATATGCCACAGCTCTTTTCTCAGCTGCGTCTAAACAAAAGGTTTTGGATGCAGTGGAGAAGGATTTAATCAGCTTCCAGGTATGATAATATATATAAACAAAAAGTTGTACATCAGGTGTTTATTTCAATATTAATCTGTGGTTGTATTTGAATCAGGGTCTCCTAAAGAAAGATAGTATACTGATCGACTTTATAAAAAATCCTTCAATAAAGCGAAAAGATAAGGTGGAAGCTTTTAAAGCCATCGGAAGTAAGAGTGGCATGAATCCAACCACCGAAAATCTGCTGACATTACTCGCAGAGAATGGCCGATTGGGGAAAATGAATGTAATAATCAATCTGTACAAGCTGCTTATGGCTGCTAACAGAGGAGAAATAGTATGCGAAGTAATTACTGCAAGTCCACTTGATGCCGATACTAAGACAAAACTGGAATCTACGTTGAAGCGTTTATTGAAGAAAGATCAAACCGCTCTGCTCACTACTAAAGTAGATCCCTCTATCATTGGCGGTATGAT